TCACCACTGTACGACATCCTCCATACAGTCCAGATTTAGCACCATCTGACTTCCATCTGTTCCCGATAATGAAAGAAGATCTATGGGGACATCATTATGCTTCTAATTAAGACATTGAGAGAACTGTGAGATGCTGGTTGCAGAGTGTTGACTTCTTCCATGACGGCTTCAGAAAACTTGTTCATCGTTGGCAGAAATGTATCCAATTGTCTGGTGATTATGTGGGGAAGTGAATAGTGGTCGTCAAAGAGCACATTCTAAGGATTATTTCTGTGTTTGATTTATTAAAATATTCCCATCCAAACCCAAGTAACAAAGGTGGAGGCATTACTTTTCATTCAACCCTCGTAGAATAAGGGCTTCCATCTAAACCAGTGGTTGTCAACCTGGGGTCCCCAGATGTTTTTGGGCTACAACTCCCAGAAATCTCAGCCAGTTTACCAGCTGTTAGGATTTCTGGGAGTTGAAGGCCAAAAACATCTGGGGACCCCAGGTTGAGAACCACTGATCTAAACATTAGGAAGAATCGAATAAGGATTGCTGTGAGTTTTTCAGGCTGTATTGTCATGTTACAAACAGCCCAAAAAACTCACAGCAACCCAGTGATTGCACAATGAAAGCCTCTGACAATACAATTTACTAATGATGAGAGCTCTTTGATGGTGGAATGTGCTGCCAGGTAGTCCCATGGAGTTTCCTTCTCTGGAGGTTTCAAGCATGTTGGATGGCCATCTGTTGAGAGGGCTTGGGTTGTGTGTAGCTCTGTGGCAGAATTGGAATGGATGGCCCTTGAGGTCTCTTCCAAATTGAGTGGAAGAGAAGCTTCTGGGAGGGTGCTGGAGGTCCTTTTCAAACAGAAGGCTATCTGTTAGGAGCGCTTGGATTGTGTCCTTCTGAATGGTAGAAGGAGGTTGGACTGGATGGCCCTTGGGGTCTCTTCCAAATCTAGTGGAAGATAAACTCCTTTCTAGGAGGGTGATTGAGGTCCTTCTTTTCAAACAGAAGGCTGTCCATTGGATTGTGTCCTTCTGAATGGTAGAAGGGGGTTGGACTGGATGGCCCTTTCGGGATCATTTTCGGTTCTGGGATTCTCTTCATATGGAACCACATCCATCTGTTGGAAAGAGCAACCTAGTACAAGCCTCCTATACTAGTTATTTGTTATGTATATAATTGACATTGGGTTGTTGTCATTTTTTTCGGGCTATATGGCCATGGTCTAGAGGCATTCTCTCCTGACATTTCTCCTGCATCTATGGCAAGCATCCTCAGAGGTAGTGAGGTCTGTTGGAACTAGGTCTGTTAGAACCATCTGTGGAATGACCATGGTGGGACAAAGGACTCTTGTCTGCTGGAGCTAGGTGTGAATGTTTCAAATGACCACCTTGATTAGCATATAATGGCCTGACAGAGCCTGGAGCAAACTTTTGTTGAGAGGTGATTAGATGTCCTTGTTTGTTTCCTCTCTGTTGTTGTGCTGTTGTAATTTTAGAGTTTTTTTTAATACTGGTAGCCAAACTTTGTTCATTTTCATGGTTTCCTCCTTTCTGTTGAAATTGTCCACATGCTTTTGGATTTCAATGGCTTCTCTGTGTAGTCTGACATGGTGGTTGTGAGAGTGGTCCAGCATTTCTGTGGACATCTAATCACCTCTCAACAAAAGTTTGCTCTAGGCACTGTCAGGCCATTATATGCTAATCAAGGTGGTCAGTTGAAACATTCACACCTAGCTCCAGCAGACAATAGTCCTTTGTCTCACCCTGGTCATTCCACAGATATATAAACCCTTTTCCTAGTTCCAACAGACCTCACTACCTCTGAGGATGCTTGCCATAGATGCAAGCAAAACGTCAAGAGAGAATGCCTCTAGACCATGGCCATATAGCCCGAAAAAACCTACAACTACCCAATGATTCCGGCCATGAAAGCCTTCGACAATACATAATTGACATTGCTTACTATATTGTATGTATATATTGGTATGCAGTTTTTTCCTTAATTCTATGTTAAGTTTGAGCTTATGGGAGCGACTACAGACTATATGACCAAATCTGGGACTATTCAGACTGAGACTCCTTTTTTGTTTTCGGTTTGCATCAGAAGCAGAACAGTACAGTTTAGAAGAAAAGTCGGTGTCGGTATGCTGCAGTGTGTAGTCAGTCTGTACTGAGTCAATGTTCAGTAATGTATTAGTCTGAAGAGAGTGCTAGTCTGTATGCAACAGAGAAGAATGCTTTAGAGCAGCAGTTCTCAACTTGGGGGTCGCAACCCCTAGCGGGGTCGATGGCAGTTTTCAGGGGGTTGTGCCACCACCTCCTTAGACCCTGCTTCCTCCGCACGGCACAGATGTGTTCCTCTGCCTCTGAAGTTGAGAGAACTTACTGCTTGAACTCTCAACCATTAAGTAATCTACCTGTATGCTGAATACATGAAGTTTGTAAGTAAATCAACTATGTTACTTTGAACAAAGACTACCTATTTCCTCTGCAAATAATCTGTCCTTGTTTATCTCATGTTTATCTCACCTGAGTTTTTAATCTGTTTTTACCCAGTTTTCTTTTATCCATTACATGTAGCTCGCCCATGTTATTGTGATTGTGTGTATTGTAATTTTATATTGCTATATTGTCTTTTGTTTTAGGTAATTGCGTTATTATTGTATATTATTTGCGTTTTTGTTTTTGTTTTATGTTATTGTTGTTTTGGGCTTGGCTTCATGTAAGCCGCACCGAGTCCCCATGGGGGAGATGGAGTGGGGCACAAATAAAGTTTATATTATTATTATTATTATTATTATTATTATTATGGTCTCTTGAGAGCATGATTTAAAAGTCATATGTTTTATGGGAGAGTAGATGTTTTTTGGGAAACTAAAATAACATTTCTGAAGACCTGCTCTATATTTTTTGTGCATTGGCATATCTTTGTTCCTAATAGTTGAGAGAGATAACCAGGTATATCAGTCTAACAACCGAGAAACCTAATTTGCCATGCATGAATACTAGTGAATATTTAACACTAATACTCAAACAATCAGTCAGTCAGTCAGTCAGTAGCCTTTATTTCGGTCAACAAACCATTGGCTAAGTCAAGTGAAAGTAGGATGATGAAATACAACAATTAACAATTAATAACATCATATTTGGCTTATAATTATATAACTAATACTCAAACAAGTATTTAGCTCTTATCAGAATTATCATACTTTACAAAAGGGTTATGATTATTCCAAATAGTGTGAATGCCAAGTAATCTCTAAAAGGGTCCCATTTCCAAAAGGCTATGGAGATCATAGAATCATAGAATCAAAGAGTTGGAAGAGACCTCATGGGCCATCCAGTCCAACCCCCTGCCAAGAAGCAGGAATATTGCATTCAAATCCCCCCTGACAGATGGCCATCCAGCCTCTGTTTAAAAGCTTCCAAAGAAGGAGCCTCCACCACACTCCGGGGCAGAGAGTTCCACTGCTGAACGGCTCTCACAGTCAGGAAGTTCTTCCTCATGTTCAGATGGAATCTCCTCTCTTGTAGTTTGAAGCCATTGTTCCCTTGCGTCCTAGTCTCCATGGAAGCAGAAAACAAGCTTGCTCCCTCCTCCCTGTGGCTTCCTCCTCACATATTTATACATGGCTATCATATCTCCTCTCAGCCTTCTCTTCTTCAGGCTAAACATGCCCCGTTCCAAGCCGCTCCTCATAGGGCTTGTTCTCCAGACCCTTGATCATTTTAGTCGCCCTCCTCTGGACACATTCCAGCTTGTCAATATCTCTCTTGAATTGTGGTGCCCAGAATTGGACACAATATTCCAGGTGTGGTCTAACCAAAGCAGAATAGAGGGGTAGCATTACTTCCCTAGATCTAGACACTATCCTCCTATTGATGCAGGCCAAAATCCCATTGGCTTTTTTTGCCGCCACATCACATTGTTGGCTCATGTTTAACTTGTTGTCCACGAGGACTCCAAGATCTTTTTCACACGTACTGCTCTCGAGCCAGGCGTCCCCCATTCTGTATCTTTGCATTTCATTTTTTTCTGCCAAAGTGGAGTATCTTGCATTTGTCACTGTTGAACTTCATTTTGTTAGTTTTGGCCCATCCT